ATATATATATTATTATATATATATATATATATATATATATATATATATATATATGATTTCAGGAGGAAAGCATGGATTCACTTGAATCCAATGGCCTCCTCCTGAGTACGCTTTTGTCTGAATGATTATTTAAATTGTAATATATAATTAGTTATCGAAATTATTTATTCTCTCAAAAATCATCTTATTTAGGTAAATAAAATTGTAACTTTTGAAAAACAAACCAAAAAAATTGACTAATTACCACAAATTAATTAATGACCGTTCAAACTTCAATAATCAATTCTCGATCCCATAGACTAGAGATAACGTACATCTAGAGTTTTCTTAAAGTTTTATGCAAATAAGTCTAATAACGGTATAAACTAGCTAGAATATCCAACACGAAATTCTCATTGCAATTAATAGAAACACTAAATTTAAAATCTATATGCATAAATTAATTTCTTTCTTAAATTGGTGTCTAATGTCTGCATTAAAGTTTCGCTTAAATTTAAATGTCTACAAAGCTCATTTGGCGCTCCCAACATACTCAGTACTCAAACTCGAAATATCTGATTAAGGATGAAGTAATTCTATCACTACACCACGATCGTGTTCGTGTTGGTACATGGATTAGGTTCTCCAACTAACTTTTCTAACTGCAAAAACTTTTGAGTACACTTCTTCATATATGTTTTTGATCATCATTAAATTTTAGTACTCATCCAATAACTAACATAAAAATAATGTTTTCATCTTTTCCACTAGCTTCTTTAATTTCTTAAAAATAGAAGCAATTCTTTTTCTCTTCCGAATTCTCTAAACTGAATTTTTTGCTTTATACAACTGAACTAAATAACCTTATCTTCTATCAACTTCCCATAAAGTACTCTTTAGCTTTCATAAAATATATTCCAGCCAAATTTAGTAAACCACCACCACCTTTAATTTAATTTGTAACTTATTAAAATGAAATATTACTATTTTTAGCAAGTTTCATTATACACCAGTCACTATAAATATTGGCCCCAACAAGTGACCAATACACAAGAAACACATACGTATATACATGCATTTGTCTATCAAAATAATAATGGCTTATTTTCAAAGACTAATTAGTTGTATTTTTGTGCTTTTCCTTTTGTCCTTAGCTTTTGCATGTGAAGCTAGGGTTTTACTTGATGAAAATAATGCAAATGATCAAGGGTTTGTTAGAGTCAATGGTGCACATTTTGAACTCAATGGATCACCTTTTCTATTCAATGGTTTCAACTCTTACTGGCTAATGCATGTTGCTGCTGAGCCTAGTGAGAGGTACAAGGTCTCCGAGGTCCTTCGCGAAGCATCTTCTGCAGGGCTTTCTGTATGCCGTACTTGGGCTTTTAGTGATGGAGGTGATAGGGCATTACAAATTTCACCTGGTGTTTATGATGAACGTGTTTTTCAGGTAGTACATTTGTTTGTGTCATTTCATATGACATTGACTAACACCTTTCTATATTTGAAAACTCTTTATACTAACATTGAACTTCTACCTATAATGTTATATGTTTTTAAAATGACATTTTAACACTACAAGTTTATCTTTTTCAACTTATGACCACAAGTACTTTTAATGAAGGTACTTTTGATACGTAAAAGAATCCATTTATTTCTTGAACTTTGTATACAGTCAAACAACATATTACTACATTATGTACATTATGTAGGGTTTGGATTTTGTTATATCGGAGGCTAAGAAGTATGGAATTCGATTAATCTTGAGCTTTGTAAACAACTACAACGATTTTGGAGGGAAAGCTCAATATGTTCAATGGGCGCGAAATGCAGGAGCTCAGATAAATGGAGACGATGATTTCTACACTAATTATATTACCAAAAATTATTACAAGAATCACATTAAGGTAACAAAAACCTAGCACTCATTAATTGATTAACACATGCTAATGTTTAATTTTAATTATTAAGTACAATTATTGTTAATGCAGAAAGTTGTTACAAGGTTCAATACCATTACTGGAATGACATATAAAGATGATTCAACTATCATGGCATGGGAACTCATGAATGAGCCTAGGAACCAAGCTGATTATTCAGGAAATACTCTTAACGTACGTACGTCTGAATTAAATCATGAATTGATTTCTCAAATGCTCACTCGATCAACTGATTAATTATAAGTACTAGTTATTATTTCAAAAAGTAACTATTATTTGAATAGAATGATCATATGAGAAATCAATCCTAAATAAAAGAGATTCTTTTTATATTTCTCAGTTACTAAGTACATTTTAAATTCAATAAATTTGCATAATTGATGTTTATATTTTGATATTATTTTAGGCATGGGTTCAAGAAATGGCAAGTTTTGTGAAATCACTTGATAACAAACATTTGCTGGAAATAGGAATGGAAGGATTTTATGGTGATTCAGTGCCAGAAAGGAAGTCAATTAATCCTGGCTATCAAGTTGGAACAGATTTTATTAGTAACCATTTGATCAAAGAGATTGATTTTGCCACTATTCATGCATACACTGACCAATGGTATATTATGTTATTCTTTCTTCATAGTTCACATACTTCACTCTTATCTTTGGTTCGAATCCTAGATTTGAAATTTTTTTATGAGTCTTGCAGTACGCCCTCCGGATTTAATTGGGCTAAAAAAACACTAAAATCATGATATTGATATATTCCCTCCGTCCCTATTTAGTTGTCCACTTTAAAAATGACACACATAATAATATAACAATAGTTAACATAGTGAAGTTACAATTTTATCCTTATTAATTATGGTTTCAAATTTCAAGATTTTTAAATGAGGGTATAATAGAATTTTTTTTGATCCTTTCTTGATTTGTCAAAATTGACAAATAAATAGGAACAACTAAAAGATGAAATATGGACAAGCGAATAGGAACATAGAGTATTATTTACACGACATCAAATCAACTTTATTCAAAATTTAATATTTAATGAATTCTGTTTATAAGGTTTTCAAATACTGAACATAATGAGTTTTCGAAATTGTACGTCCAAAATTTTATGATTCAAGAATTCATTCCACCTTTGGACTAACAAAAGTATCACGTATGGCGCCACTTTTTATAATATAAGAAACCCGTTAATGTCAAAATAAATAAAAGTTCAATATATATAACATCACCCATATGTTACGTTATCTAGTGACATAATACCTAGTTATCCTTTTAACTGTTTTTCTTTTAAAAAAATTATAACAAGAATTAATTAAAATTTTTTAATGCTGAATTATAGGTTATCTGGTCAAAGTGATGATGCTCAAATGATCTTCATGCAAAAATGGATGACAAGTCATTGGCAAGACGCAAAAAACATACTTAAAAAACCACTGGTTCTAGCTGAATTTGGCAAATCAAGTAGAGATCCAGGATATAATCAAAATATACGCGATACATTTATGAGCACGATATATAGAAATATTTATAGTTTAGCAAAAGATGGAGGAACGATGGGAGGAAGTTTAATATGGCAGCTCGTTGCACAAGGCATGGAAAATTATGAAGATGGTTATTGTATTGAATTGGGAAAAAATCCATCCACTGCTGGAATTATTACAAGTCAGTCTCATGCCATGACAGCTTTGGCTCATTTGGTTAAGATTTAGGACTAATTTTATAAGTAATACATTAGAGGACATGGAAGAAAATAAGTATACTTTAGTAGTTCCATCACCTTTTTTTTTTTGGGTAAATTATGAAATATGTCTTTGTAATAATTGGCTAAGTATATGTAACTTTCAAATAATCAATTGAAATGTATGTTTTAATCCTTTTATATATATGTAAAATTTATATATTTTCAACTATTTTTAGAGCTATATCATTTAAGTGGCTATTGAGGAAAATAATTAGTTCTATGAGAGATTCTAGGTACTCACGTTACTATAACAAAAATAGTTTTTAGTAGCAATAAATATTTATATTAACAAAGAGGATTAAAGTCTTATCGACATTTGTTAATTGTCACTAGATTCGCTATAGACTTTATGGTAATTCATAGTCTTAATTGCCTCTAAAAAACATATTTAATAGCAATTAAAATATTATCAATAATTAATTAATCACCACTGCTTTTTTTTTTAAAAAAAAAAGCAAAACACTTTTTTTTGTTGTATTGTCAAAAAAAAAAACTTCTAGAAAGGGTATATGTACCTAAGCTTCACAATCAAATTAAATGAAGGGAAAAAGAAAAAGAAAACTCCCCAGCCTAAAAGAAAAACATAGTACATTAAGCAAGAAATACAAAAGTCAATAACAGCAAAACAAAATGATGAGAATAACTACTCGCTTTGTCTCATTTGATATAATTTGAATTTTAAAAGTTAAATAATTTATGCTTAATTGTTAATTTGACTGTACAATCTTTGATTTACGTAAAAAGTATTATAAGTTTTGAATATTGAGAAGTTGAATAATATGCTTTGCTTCATCTGTAAAATCTGAAATTTGTCATGAAATCCCAGCTTTGTCTCCAAGTATACGAACTCTATTGGGAAAATGCACAAGTACCCCATCAACCTATGCCCGAAATTTCAGAGACACACTTATACTATATTAAGGTCCTATTACCCCTCTGAACTTATTTTATAAGTAATTTTCTACCCCTTTTTAGCTTACGTGACACTAGTTTGAAAAAAAAAGTCAATTATCATTGGGCCCACAAGATAGTGCCAGGTAGGCTAAAAAGGGGTAAAAATTATTAATAAAATAAGTTCAGGAAGGTAATAGGACCTTAGTATAGTATAAGTGTATCTCTGAGATTTCGGGCATAGGTTGAGGGGGTAGTTGGGCATTATCCCAACTCTATTTTGAAAGATAAAAAGAAGAAATTATCACAGGCTCACTTACAAATTGAATAATAAATAATATTTGTTTTTCATTTTTTTCCAAATCCCTTATGGAGTATAAATTAAAGATATCTCGTAAAATAAAAATGGTAGTAAAAGGTATTAAAATAAAATTTTCCGAGGGTTTAGGGTTTAGGGATAAATGATAATATTTAGGGTGTGAAAAAATCAAACTAACCAACAAATTGAATCGAAAAAAATGTTATAGAGTTAATCATTGGGTAGTTCGAAATTGGATTTTTAATGGGTTTATAAAAAAAAGTTATTAGATTATTATTTCAGTATCGGGCTTTATTATTGAGTTATTGGGACCAATAACCCAAAAAGATAGTTATAATTTACTGTGTTACCCTCCCTAATAATTAAATATTAATAATTTAATATATAACTAGACACTATAACTATATCAAATTATTAATACTTTATCTACTTCACAGTAGGCCGTTTTACTAGTTTTTATTGCTAAAAAACTAAAAACTAATGTAAGGGTTCACAATTGTAGCTTTTGATTTTAGTTTTAGCTTTAGTTTTAGTGTTGTTGGACTATTCGATTTTAGTTTTAGTCTGTAATTGTAGGTTGTAACATGTGCAAGTTTGTAAAGGTCCGTAACTTGATTAACATAAAAAATCTCATACTATGTTTTGGCGGTGACATGTAATTATAACCTTCGTACTATATTTAGATAAGTAAAAAGTCATATATTATTTACGGATATTTTCTTATTGAGTAAACCGAAAATCGAACTGATAACTATCAAAAATCAATAAAAAAAATATCTTATTGATTTATTATCGGGTTAGCTTATTTAGAAATCTAAAACTGATAATATATAAAATCAAACCAAACCGACGGATGCAAGAAGGTTTGACTGTTATCCATATACTTAAAAGAATATATATTTGAGCCTACAACGAAGTATAATATGTTGTGCTAAATAAAACGTCAGCTGGATTAGTGAGATACGTCACTAACACTAACTGCTCCTTCTCCCGGCTGCGTTTTTTAAATTTGTTTCTATTTTAATTTGTTTCTTGCTATAATTTGATCCTGAATTTAAGAAAATAGAGATTATTTTTGAATTTTTTAATATTAAAACAAAGATATGTAAAATATATTAAAATTCTATCTAATCTTATGTAAAAACACATAAGGTGGAAAATTAAAATTAAAAAATTGTTAAAAAAGAACTTTTTTTTTTGAAACAAACAAATGGAGGGAGTATAGCATATGATATCACTTGTGTCAAATAATAGAACAGACTTTCTGCAAAGTTGTCAATTTTACTTCCATTTACTAACTACCAATGACGTATATATATAGTCTTAGCCAAATTAAAGAGAGAAGAAATTGGATTTTCATATTTTGATCATATACTACATAAGTATATAATAATTTCAAATTTTACATCTTGAATGGATAGGGTATTGTTATATGGCAAGTTAATTGGAAAATTTCTATCTTAATTAGTAGGTTGTTGGTTAATGAACTTTTCGATAATTATCTCATGTTTTAGTTTCAACAGTACTCCACTCAATCTAATAGCAATGACTAAGTAATTAGTTGATGACAATTATATTTCGTCATACTAATTATTAATTAGCCAAAACTAGATGTTTATTCTCTTTGGAAATTAAATTAAATATAATACTCCATGTCTTTGCCTTGAACCATGGTTGGAAATCATTTACAAATTGAAGAGAAAGAAAATAATCTTTTCAGATCAATTAAATAGAAAAATGAAGATAACATCTTTTATAAAATGTACATAAAACTAAAAAAAAATCGAAAATAGGGTTACATAAACTAAATCTCCCTAATATAGTTTTCAAGAACATATTTCTCTAGTGGATGGAGCTAGAATATCGAAGGGGATGTTGAAAATTACATTGTATATATAAGGTCAAAATTACTCTTTTTTAATATATATTTTTATTGTAATAGTTGAATCTCCTCGACTTTTAGCTTTTTCACATGACTACATTGTTATATTTTAAATTTTCTTCGTAAAAATTATGACTCTATCACTAAATACGGTGATAGCTAGTTTTATGTGCATATTTTTCTACATCAAATAGTAACTTGTTATTTACAAGTGGAAGTTGGAGATAACTGAATTTATTACTACTACAACGTATACGTAGAAGGTGATGCCAAGTAGCCACATGGAATGCATGCATAAGCCATTTTCATACTCATATTTTTCTTATTATATATGTTGCTTCACTCATGCATAATTTATGGAGTATTCAGTTAGGATATCAACTTGAGGAAAATTGAGGATATTTGACTTGATGGGGCCAACTTTTCGAGTTTCGTAAATACTCAACGTATTATATTTTTAAAATTATTGATTCGAATCTAATAGTATTTGTTTTTAAAGATTTGATTGAATTCGGCGGTGAAGTGCTAGCTTTACGTTACGGAGTTCATCCAAACTCTCTTCTGCAGAATAATTACATTGTAGTAATATATAAGAATAATTCTTTTAAAGTGTATTAGGCTCTTGATACATGCAATTGTAACTAACGTTGAGGTTCTGTAGCATGTGGACGTTGTAAAATAATATCTCAATAAAATAAAGCTTTCAATATTTAATAATTATATATATGAAAGAATAAATTAAGTACATGTTTCTGAATTTTGGAGTTCATCCGAATTCTCTTTTGCTCGGATTTTATATTTAGAAAAAAGATAGAAATATACCTCCCTGGACTATGATCTAAATCTCATATTGTGAAACCTTTGAGTAAAACTAAGTATTTCCCTTGGGAACCCTGAACATAGATATGGTGAACGAGTAAAAACTTATCTGAATCAAAAGTTCGAACTCCTATTATTGAAAACTCTTAAATTTTAAATTTTGAATCCGTCTCTCTAGTTTAAGCTTTCAACCTTATATATAATATATATACTCATATTCAAGTCCCTATGTGCATATCAAATTTATAAGACATCACCCACATCGTATATTTCATGGTTTTCTTATCAATTCCCTATTATATCTCTCTTTCCCTTTTTCCTCCAACTGAACTTTCACCTTCTGTCAGCTTTCCACAAAACTAAAGATAAAGAAATTTGTTTTTGCCAAATTTAGCTAACCAACTATTGGATATCAATCCTCAAAATCCTCCTAATCACTTCAACTTCTTATTTTTTTCTATTTTTAGTAAGTTGTAAGTAACTATAAATACCCATACAAACATCTCTAGGCTACTCAAATCAACCTTCCCATTTTATAAACTATAACACTCACTATACACATTATTCTAACACATTAATTAATGGCTTATTTTAGTAAAG